CCCCCCCCCTTCACCCATCATGTATACTGTGAGTACCCCCCTGGGTCTGGTACTAAGTTGTTATTTGATCGCCAACTCATACTTTGTCTGAAGAATGAAAGTTTGAAATTAGGAGTTGAATTATAATTTACCATGAAGTATATTTCATTGCTTGAGGGTTTGCTTCTAGGTCGGTTTTGTCTGTTCGTAATGAAAAGAAAAACATGGATTAGATACATGTACCTTTTCTGTGCTCTTAGCAAACTCCTGAACTCCTTCTATTCAACCCACCTCATAAGAGTTGTTAGATTTAAGGTACATTGCTTATAATATACAAAATATTACTATTTTATTTTTTACGCTATTTTTTTCTTTTTTAATCCAGTGGTTTATTTGTGTGGGCCCTTGGACTCTAATGTAAACCACCCAAATGAAATGTAGAATGTAACTTAACTATATAGAATAGCATTTAATATATTTTTAAACGCAGTTTAAAACAAGGAACAATCATGCCAGTTTAAAAGTAAGCTACATCATAAGTCTATTTTTTGTATGGATCTTTCTATCCAGTCATCACTGCCTCACACACTAGGTTAAACTCACGCTCTGGGTGCAGAAACTGAAGATCTGAAAGTAATTTATACAAGGAGGTGTCAAAATATTTGTCAACTCATCCTACAAAAAGCGCACACTTCTTGTGTGCTGAATATGATTCCACAATCGCAACTCTAAAAGGGCCTGGGCCAACTGCTTTTTTTTGGCACCAGGACAGAATGTGCAGCTGACATAAAGTCTTTGAAGATTTTTAAGACCTATTAAAAGATCTTTGATACTGACAAAATGGTGAGTTGTGGCTCTAGCCACAATTTCCTCTTTTGTTAATGGTTTTTTACAATTTACTGTTGAATTTTTCAATTTTTATACCTTTTTCTCTTATTTTATTATCAATTTTTAGACTTATTGGTCAAAATTTTGGGGGATTTTACGGCTAGTGGTAAACTAGGCTCGACTACCAGCTGCTGAGCTGCTGTTCAAGAGAGGAATGAAGACCAGACTAGAATGAATGACAGAAATCATTGCTAAAATTTAAGACCATAAGGGCCATCCTTCCCCTTATCCTGGCACAGTGTGTCTAGACATCAATGCAGACAATGCATTAGCTTTGTTACAACACTATACTCTGGGTGAAGTTAAAAGAAAACCATATGTAGCAGGCAGCAGAATTCTGTGGTATTGTTAGGTGTTAGGTACCGTGATGAGACACTCGCTCCTTCGTAATTACATAATTGAGGGGGTGGCTCATGACATTATCTAATCAGTAAGTTTCGCCACAAAACTATTTTTGTTAGGAAGAAAACAGTAGTGAAAGTGCAGAATTTTACAATACTTAAACCAGTACGCAAAGCTTCGTTAAGCCTATTGCTGTTCTGTTTTGCTTTTGTTGTAACTTGATAAAGTATTGTTAGCGATTTTAAACATGTAAATTGAATTTACATGTAAATTTAAAATGGTGAAATAATGTTAAATTAATGGGGGGTTGCATTTGAGGCACAGCAACATTTCACAGATTTGCACTTGCCACAATGAGGAATTTAGAATTTAGAATTTAAGGGAAAATGACCTTTTTTAATGGGGAACAATGGATGAAATGCAAGTCATTAGGACCAAGGAAACATTTGTGGCCCTCCATAGTTTCTTACATGGAGATAAATGCCCCTAAATAACACCATGTGATAAACAAATATCACCCTTGCAGTCATATGTTACAAACATATTGTGCCCCTTTAAGACTGACCTTTACTGGTAAGCTTTAAATATAAGATGTTTAGATAGTTGTAAGTTTAAAAAGAAGTTGTACATTTTATTCCTTGATAAGTGAATTTTGCACCATCATTGATATTTAAAAGGTCACAGTTGTACTGAGGTAGTTATTTATCGTATAAATTCTTCATTGTTTAGTCAAGTTCATGCTTGTATGGTTTGGAATAAAGCTGTTGTAGGTATTAAAAGACTGATGTGTTATTCCATTGCTGCAAAGTTCATCTAATGCAACTGACAACAGAGGCCTTGCAAAGAGTTTCAGATGCCATTTGGTATATACATTTGCTTTATTATCATGCCACTTTTCTCAAAGAAGGTATCATGTCAGTACTGGATCAAATGTTTAACTTTTTGGGTGGCTTTCAAATACTTCAAAATTTCTGGGTGGCACGGGTGTGAGAGGCGCGGTGGCTTCATGACTAGTGCGCTTGTCTCTGGATCGACCGGTCCGGGTTCGAGCCCTGGCCGGGGACATTGCGTTTTGTTCTTGGGCAAGATACTTCACTCTCTCAGTGCCTCTCCACCCAGGTGTATAAATGGGTACCAGCAAATTCAATGCTGGGGGATAACCTTTCGATGGACTAGCATCCCATCCAGGGGGGAGTTGAAATACTCCTAGTCGCTTCATGCTACAGAAACGGGGATGAACGCATGCATTCTTTGTATGACTTTGATTCCAGGTGGCACGAAAAGTATTAAATACATTGGGCTCAAATTCCTGGGGACTGGTAATCCTGCTGTGACCTTTCAATATTCAGAACTGATATTTTTTGGAACTTCATCACAACTAAATCTTTTACGGCGAACCAATAATGGATATGGCATAATAGATTACCATAGCAACGGTACAACCTTTTAAAAACACGACTTGTGATGAGATGAAACTTTTTGCAAAGTTTAAATAATCCTATGGCTGTTTTTCGAAAATTCAACATGCAGAAAGTCGCATATTAAAATATGTATACCCTGTGTTACTCTAAGAAATGGCATACCAAATAACTCCTTCACTGATTCAACCTCAAACATACACAGACATACCCCCAAAATCGGCCACGATAAGTGTGAAACCATGTACTTTGTCCGGAAGATTGGACACGTACACTACTCGTCCGGGACAAAGGAGAATCGGCGTGAACGCAGGAAACTTCTTAATAATCCGGGAACGAAATACAAAACAGACCCTGTAACAAAATCACGACCAAACTGTGCAAGGATGAACACAAGTTAGATTAAACCAAGAGAATCATTTTCTCTTGATTGAACATCTACCGGTAAACCACGAATTCTCAGGGTGTAACCCTTTGCCCCATGTACCTCCCTGGATAGTATGGCAGTTCATTGCAGAGAATAGACCTTTTGTTCAAGCCTGAATTTTTTTCAGGCGTTTATTTCACAACTGCTTGAGTTGTGTATAATTGCGATGATCAATCATGTCTTCTTATCTTTTTCGGCAGTTCAAGTATATGATTTTTCATATATTCACTTACCTATGTCTTTGCCGATGACAACGGCGCTTTTCCACAACTGGAAAGTTTCGGTGTTTATGAATTAGAAGTTAGTCAAAGCATAAGCCAAAGGGAGATCAGAACACGAAACGAAATTTATACGAGTCCTCTGATGATGAAAGCTCTGGCGAATAGGCCACTTTTGATATATTAAACTTCAGCTTGATCCTTATACGAGGCCTAGAGGACACCATGAAACAAATGAAATGAATAAACATGGTTATTATATTTCCTTTGTTTGTGTCCTCTAAGCCTCAATGCATGTCAAGCTGAATTTTAATATATCGAACACGGTCTATTCATGCAGACGACATGCATACAGACTTGCCTTCAGTGATGGCAAGAGTGCAAAGAAAGGGAAGCAAAAAGTCACGAAACGGAAAGGCAAGACAACAGTGCAAGGAAACAAGGCTTCCACGGGCAATAACCCAGGCATGCCGTCCTCCGACTAAATTTTTGATAACGACTTTGAAACAAAGAGTAAGTTTTGGACTCATGGGTAATGAAGAGTTGGGAAATCACAACTACTCATAGGGCTGTTTTTTTGCACGTTCGCAGTTCAGAAGTGGTTACCTTTAATTTTATTAGGTAAAATAATCTACGTTCGTCAAAGCGAAGTGAATGATTAGACCGTAAAATATATTTCTCCAAATCAGGATCCAAAATTAATCTGGTCAGTTTCAGAGGTCAATGTAACAAGTTTGAAGTTTTATCACTCTGTTTTTTAGCGACCCTGCGCTACTCAAACGCGAAAGATGAACCCCGGGGGATTCCCATATAAAAAAGACGGGGGTGCTCGTGAGAAATTTTGAAAAAAAACCCTAAAAGGTTCCAAAATCCTGCTTTGTGAGCTTAGCTTAAAATTTTTTCTCCCCTAAGAGGTAGCAATTCTTACATAACACATAACCCCTATCATATTTTTTCTGCTCGATACCCTAAAAAAATACCGCAAAAGCTGCCGATGTGGACCTTTTGAGGTTCAACACTCTAAGAGGTACCAAAACCGCGCTTTTAATTCCTAAAAGGTACGACGAACACCCCCGTCATTGTGAAGGTGAATTAATCAACATGACGCGAGCGTGGGACAAAGAAAAATTCTGAGTCCCCGACAGAATTTGTCCCACGCTCGCGTCATGTTGATTAATTCACCTTCACATTTCATTACCGAGCTTAAAATTCACCATCTTTATTAACTTATCACTACCCCCGTCATTTTTGAATGGGAGTCCCCTCCCCCGGGACTGAACAGGCGGATTTACCGGGGTACCTTTGTCGATAAATCAACCAAAATTAGTTACCCTAACCCTCCCCCCGGCCGCTATCAGTGGAGTTTCTCCACGAGTATTCCCTCTTTCGCCCAGTCCGGGGGAGCGAGACCGTAAAAAATGGCCGCGTGAAATCCTGGGGCGAGCCACTAAGAGTTCGCGCGGCCATCGCGTCACGCACGACGGACTGAGCAAAAGAATGACTACTACTCTATAATTATAAGCGGCTGGCAGACGGGCAGAGCATTTATTATGTAATTGAGGCGGTTAAGCGTGACACAATTGTGTTCTGTTTATATCAGCTTTACACAAGAAGACAAGAGACAAAGTAATTTGAAATTTACAAGTTGTTAAAATGGCCTGGGAGAGCATAAAGAACCGCATCAAGAACACTTTCTCCAGCATCTCCATTATAACGTACGTGCTCGTTGTGATTTTCGGCACTGGTTCATGGATCGCAGTCAACGCACTTTGGGTTGAATTACCCATCATAGTTCAAGAAATCCCAGAAAGTTGGTCTCTGCCATCCTACCTAACAGTTATAATTCAACTGGCCAACATAGCGCCTGTGGCTTTTACTCTAGGAAATAAATTCTTCCCACGAATAGTTCGCGAGATACCGGCCATTTACATCAGCGTTCTCGTTGGAATCGCAGCATGTGCGCTTTTGGCGTTTTTCTGGAAAGAGACGAGCTTCATTGCGGGAGCTGAGCGCAGCACCGCACTTTTGGTTCTGTGTTTCTTTCTCGCCATGGTAAATTGTTCTTCTTCGGTCACGTTTCTGCCATACATGGCCACCTTCCGAGAAGTTTACATGAGTCCCTTTTTCGGTGGCGGAGGATTAGGTGGACTTTTCCCTAGTCTGGTAGCTTTAGCGCAGGGTGTGGGAGGGGGGTCACACACCTCTTGTGTAAACCCCACCCTGGCTCCTATGAGTACTACTAATGAAACGTCAGCAAACAATACCACCACAGGTAGCGGGGGTCCAGGGCCTAAGTTCTCTGTTGAAGTGTTCTTTTGGTTTCTGACTGGAATGATGGTAGCCTGTGGCTTGGCCTTTCTGGGGCTGAATTACCTTCCTGTGGCAAAACGACAGCAGGTAGTGAAAAACATCAAAGGTGACGATGAAGGGGCCCAGGGATGTGAACAAGCCATGGAACTTGTCTGTGACGAAGAGAGGGAAAACATTGAAAATTCTTGTTTTCAAGAGGACCATATTGTTAAAAATTTGTCCACAAGGAGCGATGTCTTTCTGTTTGTGATTTTAGCCTTAGTCAGTGGCTTGAGCAATGGAGTCATACCAGCTATCCAGTCATATGCCTGCATACCTTATAGCTATTACATTTATCATCTAACGCTCACGCTGTCTAACATCGCCAATCCAGTCACCTGTTTCATGTTTCCATTTATGCAAACAATGTCATCAGTGGTCATAGCAGTGCTGAGTTGTGTGTACGTTGGTATGTGTACATACATTATTATTGTCGCATCGCAGAGTCCCAATGTACTCTTACAATGTGAAGATTCTGGTGCTGTTTTGATAGTAAGTATGTGATGGAACATTAATTTCATTTACCACATTTAATACATGTAAACTATGTGACTTATAGCCCAGACATTAAGTGTGTGGGTCTTAAGGTAGGTAAAGTCTACATATGAGCCAAATGGCCCATCAAGGTGGTTTCTGTAGCACGAAGTGACTAGGAGTATTTCTACTCTCATCTGGATGGGATAATAGTCCATCACAGGGTTACCTCTAGTGTTAAATTTGACAGCAATTATTGATACACCTGGTTCGAGAGAGGTACTGTGACAGTAAACTGTTTAGCCCAAGCACACAACACTATGTCCCCAGCCAGGGCTCGAACACAGACCACTTGATCCAGAGTTGAGTGTACTAACCATGAGGCCACCACGCCTCTATGGGTGGGTCTTAAAGTCAACAATATCTTACAGAACCAAATGATTGTTTAAAGAACAATCCTTTCCTTTGGCACAGGAAAATCTTTAAGTCAAAATTGTATAAAATTACATTAAGCCATATTTTTCACTATGGTGTGCCTCTAACCAGCACACAAAGCATCTGTGGGATTAAATCTAGTAGTGAGCAACTGGTGGATAATCAGTTGATCAGTGATTCATTATTGCTGAGATTATCAAAAGATCTATGAATAACGAATTGACCATAAACATATAAGTCATGGATTGGTCATTGATTGCTGGGTCATCACTAATATAACAACTCAACAACCTGAGTTGTATATTTTTGTGTGACTGGTTAACGTTCTTACCCAAAGAACAGTACCACATCTTTAAATACTTTCCTTTCAAAGATGGGAAAACTCTACTCCAAGTGTTTTTGTTTATTGGGGGGGAGGGCGATGGGAAGTATGGGGGTGGAGTGGGAGAGAAGTGATGAGGTAAATTTGTGCCATAGCAATTAATGTTCATGATAATTTTACATGGTTAGAATACTTAACTGCTCTTACAGCAAGATGACAATATAACAAAACCATTGTATTTTTGTCATGCAAAATCCTAAAATAATTCAATTCCTTTGAAAGGTATTTGTCAGTGTCAGTGCTGTTGCCTTGGTAACATACATCAAAGTTGCAATTGGAGGAATAATGCGTGAGAAAGGTCACAAGCATCTTCTGTGGTATGGTGTGAGTCTTCAAGCGGGGTCTTGTGTAGGCGCTCTGGCGATTTTTGCTCCAGTGAATGTCTACCACCACTTCAAACAAGAATGACAAGCTTCACCTGGATGATGTTACAGTAAGAACACCCAAACTGTGAACAGTCTTGACATTTTTTTTTTTTCACATTATTCGGTGACTACAGAATGATACATTGAAGGCTCTTTGTTTGCCTTTTACAATGTACTCTGACTCTGAGCCTTCTTTCTAAGGTCAGGGTAATAATGTGCAAAGACAGTGTTTGTGGTTCGAGTTTCCTCACTGAAAGTTTCAAATGAAGGTTTATTTAAAAATAGTGATACATGTTTTAGGGGTTCATGTCACAGTAGCATGTAACAGGGGTACTTTAAAACATCTACATTAGGACCTTGAAGAAACCCTGTCTGGTTGTCTGGGGCAAGCAACTTTCTTTCCTCACTCATTGATCAGCAGTAAGAAAGTGCTCAGGCAGGGTGCAGCCAACTAAGGTTTAAGAATTCTTTTAAGGCAAAAAAGTAAGTAAACATTACTGTACCTTTCAATAACATAAACNTGATAATTTTACATGGTTAGAATACCTAACTGCTCTTAATGCATGATGACAATATAACAAAACCATTGTATTTTTGTCATGCAAAATCCTAAAATAATTCAATTCCTTTGAAAGGTATTTATCAGTGTCAGTGCTGTTGCCTTGGTAACGTACATCAAAGTTGCAATTGGAGGAATAATGCGTGAGAAAGGTCACAAACATCTTCTGTGGTATGGTGTGAGTCTTCAAGCAGGGTCTTGTGTAGGCGCTCTGGCGATTTTTGCTCCAGTGAATGTCTACCACCAATTCAAACAAGAATGACAAGCTTCACCTGGCTGATGTTACAGTAAGAACACGCAAACTGTGAACAGTCTTGACATTTTTTTTTCCTGCATTTTTCGGTGACTACAGAATGATACATTGAGGGCTCTTCGTTTGCTTTTTACTCCGTCCTCTGACTCTGAGCCTTCTTTCTAAGGTCAGGGAAAAAATGTGCAAAGAAAGTGTTTGTGGTTTGAGTGTCCTCACTGAAAGTTTCAAATGAAGGTTTATTTAAAAATAGTGATACATGTTTTAGGGGTTCATGTCACATTAGCATGTAACAGGTGTTCTTTAAAACATCTACATTAGGACCTTGAAGAAACCCTGTCTGGTTGTCTGGGGCAAGCAACTTTCTTTCCTCACTCATTGATCAGCAATAAGAAAGTGCTCAGGCAGGATGTCAGCCAACTGAGGTTTAATAATTCTTTTAAGGCAAAAAAGTAAGTGAACATTACTGTACCTTTCAATAACATAAACTCTGCTCAATCAATGGTGTCATGTTTTGCTGGAGTCAATCATCTTTAAAAAGTGGACCTCTTAGGAAACAGAAGTTTAATTCAACAGGTTCAAAAAGCCACATCTGTGGGTTGCATTTGGTAGAATTTGATCTATTTTGTTTGTTTCTTTTTTACAATTTTTGTTGGTCGTTGCCGTAATTATGATTAATGGCAGCCAAAAATGCAATTGCTAGTTAGGATTTGCACTCCAGAGTTCTTGTGTTATGGAAAGGCACCATAATTCAAAGGATTTGGCAGGAGCTTATGAACTAATGCAATACAAAGTACACTTCATTTTGTCATGAAGATAATGACAGTGTTGCACACGTTTACATTTAAATTTTATCAAATCAATGCATGCTTTTATGCTTTCAATGCATACTTATTTGTCTCTTTTATTTATGTTTATAAGTGACCTCTGAACCATTTTCGTTTTTAATCCACAGCTACAGTGAGACATTATTTCAATGTGAGACAGTGAGCAATCACATATTGGAAAATAAGAAGAGAATTTATATTTATTGTGAAGCATGAATTCTGATTTTTAATTCAAATTATATATTGCATTTGAGAACCTGGGCAAGTGTCAGGGTAAAAGCTGGCCGGGGCAAGTGTAACACAGCTCAGAGCTGCTTGTCCAGGGAAAGCCAAACACAATTTGTTTTTCAAACCCTGCAAACGTAATTATTGGTATGCTGCAGTGACACATCCTCTCATGTGTGGTGATACGCTGTGGCCACTTGCTTTGACAGTTAACACATTCAGTGCATTTAAGGATTTGTTACATCACTATTATGTTGTGTGTTTAACACAGGTGAGATAAAAGAAACATCTAGCAGTGTGTAGAATTTTGTGGCAAAGTTTAGGTCTTAAATAAATATGTGATAAAATTGTAATTCAAGAGAGAGCATTCATCACAGTAACTAGCACATAAAAAATTGCCAAAATATTTTTTGACAGTAGAAAAAATGTATCCAAGCCTTGACACATCTGTCACAGCTATTGTTTGACTATTTTGTAACCTGGTTCATTATTTTTAGCGAAGTCCACACAATGATGTTGAGTTATTTGGGCTTACAATAGTCTTCAGTGAACAACACGTGTTAACTTCAAGACGCCATCTTCAATGACCAACATGCATCTTGCACGTACCTAACTTGAACAATACTTCATGTAAGCTAACACAACAAATGACACCTTCAGTATACAGTCAAACCTCTATTAAGCAGCCACCCCTTATTAAGCAGCCAGAAATCAAAGTCCTAAAGTTATTGTCAGTAAAACACTGTAAATAAAACCCCTATTAACCAGCCACCTCTATTAAGCGGCCACAGCTACCTATTGGTCATCCCAATGAAGGTTTTTCTATTGTCTTTACTCCTATTAAACGGCCACACAAAATTCAGTTCTCTTAGATAATTTGGCTTTGGTTTGGAAAAGATGATGAAAGATATTAGAGTCTGAAATAGAATTTGACAACTGATAAAAACATTCAAACACACATTTATTATGATTGTCTAGACCTGATTACATGTTAACCCGATAGTGAAAAGCACATGAACCGCCATTAAACAGCCAACCCCTAATAAGCAACCACCTCCCATTTCGGCGAGAGTAGCGGTTTAATAGGGGTTTGACTGTAGTTTACTTATCTGTTCCATTTGTTTGTACCACATGTAGAGCAAAATGTTTTGGCTGGTTTAGCTGGATTCAAGTGAACTGAATTTTAAGTGATAATAACTAATGATATCATATGGTTTATTTATGTCAAACCTTTCATGGAGACAACCCTTGGGGTTCAACTAACCTTGAGTTATGTAGGTTTAAAATGGCAAAACAATAAATTATTGAGATATTTAATAGGAAGGATATTTTTATTTACAAGTAATTATTGCACTTTAATTGCTCTTGCTGAAAGAATTGTTAGGTTCATTCTTTATTGTTTCGTCAAAATCATGATAATTTTAAATAAAGCTTCAGTTAATTTTTATTTCTCTGAAATCAGGTTGCTGGTATTCATGCAAATATGCTTCTTATAGTGGTCACCCTGCAAATGCCTTTTGCTGGTAAACAGTTGTGCTGGTCATAACTTTTGTTGGGAGACTTGGGAAGCTTGCACACAATCAAGACCCAACACAAGTGGGAGACATGTTTGAGGGTTGGGTGGGGACTGCCCATAGCAATTTTGATAGAAAAGGTACTTGTTTTGCACACCTTTTATAATTTGAAAAAAGGTACCCCCTGCACATACCTACTTAAGAACATTGCATCTCTTTTCTAAACCCTTGAAATGAAGTTAATGATGTAGGGCTTAATAAGTATGTCAGATCTAGCAGCAGCTTCTATTGTTAACTTTCAACCATCCTTTCTACTTGTTCATTAAGATGGATAAGTTTTCAACAAATTTTCTTTCTTCATTATTAGAAATATATCATTGAGATCACAGTGACCCCAAATGTTTCTTCCAGCCTTCAATGGTATTAAATCAGCCATGTTAAATTACTTCTGTTTCCCCTTTCTTTTCAAAAATGCCAATTTTTCCTGACTCCAAATAAAATTCCTTGACCTTGAAGAATTTTTTCCCCTGACCTGTAGCAAACCTTTTGTAAAATAGCTACCCTTTTATATAGCTGAAGACTGATAAAGGTACCCTTTTGGGCAGGGCCTCCCTGATTGGCCCTCATACGGTTTCCCCATCCCACCAGCATGCAGGCTAGAGGAAGGTAGGAGAAATGTCAGGTCAGCTTGACAGTCATTGTTTTTGATTATATACATGTAGCTACTGAATGTGTTGTGAACTAGCAGAAATCTAGTTTGAAATTTTCAAAGTACGATAAAATGTTCAATTTGAGAATGGAACCCTAACAACTGACAGACTATTGTACAGCTTCCTCCAGTAAAACAGTTTTTAAAAAGGTGCTTCTCCATGCCAAGGAAACTCCTGCAACTTTTGCTGGTTACCTGTGGCTTTTTCCTTGGTAGTACTGTGTCTCGTTTTGTCTGGGTAGACTGGGTCCTAGCTACCCCACAAACCACTGCGCCGGCGGGCCAGTCTATAACTTGTCGCCACGTCTGTTTTTGTTTGAGAAAATAAGTGTGTCAACTTTAAATGTTCCTTTGACGATTTGCTACGGGTTCTATCTTCCTTCTACAAACGATTGAAAACTTTTGAAAACGTAAGAGCCTTAGAGATATCAATCTTTGGAAAGAAATGGCGGAGAATGAACTTGGAACATGGTTTCGAAGCATACCCATTGTCACAAGATGGTGGTTTTCTCTGTCCATCGTATTTCCCCTTCTTGGAAGGCTGGGATTGATAAATGGAATGTACTTCATCCTGGACTATGCAAGTATTGTATATCGTTTCCAGGTAAGAATCAATGACTCCAGAAAATAGCTCCAAGTACGTAAAGCTCTCTGAAAGGCGGACGAGAAGGTTTTTAAACAGATTTTGCACAGAAATGCACACACTTTTTTTAATTCACACAC